ACACTCCATCCCTGTTCAGCAGGAAGCAGTTACAGAGTTAGGATACTCATCTCTAGTCCCTCAAGGATGAGAAGTAACGAATGTCAGGGGGGAATTGTTAGAGAGGACAAGGGTCTCAAAGTCTGGGCAGTTCTTACTAAATACATTCTTGCCAAATGTTAGAATGTAGCACACTGTTTTGTAGATGCAGCTGTAAACACCATGAGCTTGACAGGAACTCAATCTGCTGAGTGTAGCCAACTGGGAAGAAGAAATCAACATGCAATTGATCCAAGAGTGTATATAAGCAAGGGTGAAGTCTCCCTTTGGGGAGACAAAGCTTTGGATATAAATCCTGTCTCCTTTATATGCTGCAAGTAAATGAAACCACCTTGTGACAACCACGTCTCCTTGAATTGAACACCGCAAGTGGTGAACCCCTTGAGTTCATAACGCCCTATCCAGGCAGCCCTCCCAACCTCCAGCTCCATTCACCCCCAGCAGCATCCCACCTCCACCTTACCCCAGCTTTTCTTCTTGGACTAGAACTCCCTTCCAGCAGTGCAGTGTCGGCTTCGCCCACAGTGCGTCAGCTACCTTCTCATCTCCTGGGCTTCCTAAACCCTCTTCCCTCTCCCCCCGCCATTCCCAACACAGCATGTATCTCTGCATAGCCGGCTGCCTGTTTACCTGCCTGCTCCCCTACGAGGTCAGGAGCTCCCAGGGTAAGGACTGTATCTGGCCCACCAGCCTGAGCCCAGGTCTGCGCAAGAGCAGAGCCTGAATGAGCGAGTATGTGTGTGTGACACAAATGTGTGTGTGACACACTGCCCACTCTGTGTCGGGCAGTATGAAAGTAGCTCTCTGCCAGGACAGCATCTGTGGTCCAGGGTCAATGTCTCAGCCACCTTCACCTCCAGCCTCACTGCCAGCCTGACGCGCGGCGGGTGCTTGATGAATGCCCGCTGCCTCTACCTGAACTGAGCAGCAATCGAATAATGCCAGGCAACTACGGGCACGGGCATTGGGGTCACACCGAGTGGGGCTTGAATCTGGCTCTGTGTGTGTGGCAGGAAAAGAAAACTCCAAAAGTTTCTTATGCTCTGTAACTGTAACACTTGCAAAGTTTCACACAGGACTGTAGAAGCTGACAAGTCGTAACCAAAGCAATGGCCAGTTACTCAAGGTCGTACACAGACTCCCATGATAAGCTCCTGTGCTCTGTAGCTTCTGCAAATTCCTCCTGCATTTTCTCTTTGTCTCCCATATAAGGTAGCTGGACCTAACTTCCGCATTCGGCTTCTGTAACCTTGATTCACCCATGTAGGTAGGAAGCCCGGGACTATTTAAACCCCGGGAGAGTGAGGATCAGGGCTCAGAGGATTTGGATGCTAACCACCCCCTCTGGGCCCCCGGGTAATAAAGTTTGTGCTTCATTATCTCCCCGCGTGTGGGTGGATTTTCCACAACATGTGGACCTTCTGTGTGACCCAGAGACAGTGGCTTCACCTCTCTGAGCCTTGGTTTTCAGTCGGATTGGTGGTGGTGACAGTGCCCTCCTCCGACAGGCGCGGTGAAAGGTGTGCATGTTCCCAGAGCAGTGTACAAGCACCTGGACATCTGCTGTTCCCTGGGGTCCACAGGCCACCTAGTGGAATGGAGACCAAGCCCATGGTGGGTTCTCACTCCAACCGAGGGCAGGGGGACCTTCCAGGTGTGTGGGTCTCCAAGTCCCTAGTCTGAACGCTAGTTTCCAACAGGGAGAAGAAGGCCCAGCGAGCTGCCCAGCAAAAGCCACAACGTCCTGGTTCCATCCTGGGGAACAGTTACGTTCTAGAACCTGAGTCCTTTCCTCATGCCCCCCTCTTCCTTTTTCACCTTTTTTTTATTTCAGAGTCATTTTTAGACTTGCAAAAATAGAGCACAGAACTCCTGCACACCTGTCAGCTGGCTTCCCCTAATGTCAACATCTTATAAATCACAGCGCCACACTCTAAGCCAGGAAGCGAACTCTGACACAGCACTATTCACTATCCCAGAGGCCTTATTTAAATGTCGCCAGCTGCCCGACGAACATCCTTTCTCTGGTCCAGGGTCTAAAGCAGAACCCTACACTGCATCTGGCTGCTGCGTCCGTCTGTCCATCCTACGATGCAGCCCCAGCCTCGCTGTCTTTCCTACCCACGACAGCTCTCAAGAACTGCAGAATGGCCCTCAATTTCGGCCTGATGCCTCTTCCTGAGCAGACCAAGGGCGTGCGCTCAGACAGGAGCACCCCAGAAGTGACGCCGTGTGATGCCGGAGGTACGCGGTTTCCACGCGGCCCTGGAGTGACCATGTTGACTTCGGTCACTCGGCAAAGTGGCGTCTGTCTGCCAGGATGTCCCCCTGTAAAATTACTATTTACTCATTTGTAATTACTAAGCGTCTTGTGAGGAGGTAACCCAGAACTATGCAAATATCCTGCTTCTTATACTTTCACCCACTAATCTTAGCATCTGTGGATGACACTTGGCGACGACAGTGAGTACTGCGGTATTGGCCAAATGGTGGTTGTCTACTTCCATCACCCTTTCTACGTTTATTAACTGGAATTTGACTGTGAGAAAAAGCTGACCCTCCCTGTATCTATTTATTTAGCAGCATGAGCCCGAGGGTGTGCGTTTTATTCCATTATCGTCATTATTTCGCTGTTCCAGTTGTCTCGTCCTCTTTTGTAACCTCAGCCACCTGTTTCCTGGTGAGCTGAATCCGCGGCCACCGCCCGTGAAACACCTATTCCCTGGTACACAGGGCAGGTCATGGGGGCAACTCGGAGTCCTTGCAGGCGTCTCCCCCTTGAACTCACTGGGCCTCGTCCCGGCAGGGGCTGGGCCTTTTTGCTGGAACTGAGCGGGTTCCAGGCAGGGGAAGTCAGTGAGGACTCCAGGGGCAGGGAGCTCCAGGAAGGCCTGGGCCCGGCCAGGTAGTCCCGTGTCACCCACTACTCTCGCCATGTGCACATACACCCCTATCCCGGCCCGGCCAGGCCCGGCCCGGGAGCGGCACCAGCCAACCTCACATCCTGCGTTTTTCCTTCTCGCCTCCCCCTTCTCTGCTCTGCTGCAGAGATAATTGCCGAGAACCCCAAGTGGCGGACAGCTGGACAGCACTTGCCCAAGTTCTTTCACGCAGAGGAAGTGTTCTCCACCCAGGGGACAGTGCCAGCTGTTTCCCAGCAGCCCCCAGGGCAGCATCTGCTGATGGCACGTTCTGACCGTCAGGACTGTGGTGTTTGCCAAGCGGTGATGGTCCACTTCCATCATTCTTTCTATGCGCGTATCGACCGGCTGGGATTTTACTGTAAGGGAGCAGAGATAGCAGTGCACGGCAGCAGGAGAAACTAGTCGAGGAGGAGAGGGGCTAAAGGGAGAAGAAGGCTCTGAGCTCCCCTTCCTTGCTCTCTTTCAGGTGTGCAAGGAAGATGGCAGAACCATGAACTACGGTAAACCGCGCTCGCCTCCTCCGTGACCACATCCAAATTACAACCCAACTGCACAACCGCCACCCTTGAGGACCACCTCAGAGTAGCTGAACAGAGAACTCGTTGAACTAAGGACACAAAGAAGAAGCCACGTGGAGGCTGGGAGGAGGGGTGGAGATGTGACGGGCTGGTTCCACACCCAGGCGTGGCAGTTAAGAATCAGGAGGGCTAAGCCCTGGCTGGCGTAGCTCAGTGGATTGGGCGCTGGCTGCGAACCAAAGCATCGCAGGTTCGATTCCCAGTCAGGGCACATGCCTGGGTTGCAGGCCACGGCCCCCAGCAACCACGCATTGATGTTTCACTCTCTCTCTCTCTTTCTCCCTCCCTTCCCTCTCTAAAAGTAAATAAAATAAAATCTTTAAAAATGTATTTATAAAAAAGAATCTGGAGGGATATCCTGGTTGTGGAGGTGCCCCATGAGGAGCAAGGGGCCCCAGCCCCGCACCAGGCTCCCCAGCCTGCGCCACCAGAGCTGGGAAGAAGAGTCCCCTCAACAGCGGGCTGTAAAACTAGCAGGGACCCATCCCGGTGAGCCGGAGGGCTGCTGGCATTGCAGGCACCCCCTGCCCACACAGAGCAGGAAACAGAGGGCGAGCCAGTTGGTTTGCCGACAGAGCCCGGCCAGCTCTTGACACGCCGGCTGTCTGGTGGGAGAGCCCGGGTCCGGCCCCCATCTCACGCTCCGTCTTGCTCTGTCCCTTTCTCCCCATCTGTCCTCCCTGGGCAAAGGTCACCCCATTCTGGGCTGAGGCCACAGGAGGGTCAGTCTGAGTCATCCCTGAGGTCTTGAAACTGGGATTTCTGAACCACACACTGGCCTTCCACTTTAAACGTTCAGTGAGTGCCCATGTTCACTCGCTTCAGTTAGCTGCTGGTACAGAGTCTCAGACCCACTCCGTCCCATGGCGCTCCACTGAGGGCCCAGCGGGGAGCAGGCCCCGCTCACCTCACCGCCTCCGGGTCCCCTGTCTGCGTCGCCCCCTGGCGGCCCCTCCCGCCCCCCAACACGCGTAGTCAGTCTCTCCTTTCGTACAGCCGCCTGGGGCCTTGTGCTCAGGCCCTTGGGAGCGGCTTCTCTCTGCCACGGTGAGGGTGGGCGGGGTGCAACCGCTTTCCCCCCTACCAGCCCCTTCCTGGCCTTGGTGCAAACATACGGGTTTGAAATCAATATGTTTGCTCATTTCTCAAAACATCTCAACCGTAAATTACATGTAAAAGTTCAAGTAGTCACTCTCCAGATGTTTTCTCTGCGGGCTGGGCCCGGCTGAGGCGGCCACGCCCATTCTGCAGGCCGCGTTGCCAGGGCTCGGAGACGGAGGGGCACTTGCGCGCGTGCGCAGTTCGCAGGAGGCGCCCCCTGACTCTCTGACTCCCGCACTCCCGCTCTCTCCGGCGCAATGCACGAGGCTATTCTGTTCGACGCTTCGCTCCGCCCTTCCCACCGGCCCCTCCAACTCAGGCCTAGTTAGCTGTTCCAGAAAAAAAAATTCTTTCTTACTCATCTGGGGATCCCTCGCAGAGTAGTCCAGCCAGTACTCCTGGAGCTGTCCACACTCAGTGAATCCGTTGAGTGAACGCTTGTTTCTATGCAGAAAGACCCCCCCACCCCCGGGGACCTACTCTTATCGAAGACGTGTCCCAGTGCTGTTTGTACGCGGACTCGACTCCCTGGGGCTCCGTTTCCCTGTCTGTAGAGCAGTTACAGAGGGCTGGACGTGCTGGTGTCCCTAGTCCCACCAGCTCTGACCCCTGTCGTTGGCTCTGGAAGTTTGCCCATGAGGACTGCTGTCTGTGCTTCTGGGGACAAGTGATTGGAGGCAAGGACGCCCTGGAGGCGAGGAGGCCCCGCCAGCCCGACATCGGGGAAGGCAAGTGGCTGTGGCTGGGCACACCCTCGGGCACCAAGCAAAGGAGACAACATCGTGTAGGGCTTTGGAACGTGGTCATGGTCAAAAAAAGAAAAAGAAAATCAGCCTTGAAAACTTCACGAGCAGACAAAACCAGTCTGGTCATCCAGTCTGGTCAACCACGCAAAGCTTCCTTTAGTTTCTTTTGCAAGGTTAACTTGACCTTGGTCATTTCTTGCTTAGGCCTCTGAAAACTCATGAGCCAAACTTGAACTGTTTCCCAAGGTTGCTAAGAGGTAACCGCTGGCCAAGTTTTTAATCGCTGAAGGAAACTGTAGCATTACAACCAAGTGCCGTAAAGAGTGAAGACTCGCCGCTTTCTCACTTTATCAGCTGCTTCGTAACAAAACAAAACAAAACAAACAAACCCACCCCTGAGCTTCACTCTGAGTTTCGGTCTGTGTGCTCCCTGTGGACACGCGGTCTCCTTGGTGTGCGCACAGTGAGTCTCACGAACGCTACTTCAGTGTCCCTTGGTTTTACTCGGGCTATGTTTAACTCCTTGGCAGCGTCCCCAGCTGAGCCTGGAAGTGGTGGCAGCCAGGGGCAGGCCCAGCTGCCAGTTTTCTGTAACCAATTTCATTCCGCTGAAGTTATTTTCTTTTCGACGCTTTCAGATTGAAACCCTGGCTGCCAGTTGGCGGTTTAGAACTGGAAATGTTGCCTGACCCCTCCTTCACCTTTTCACCCCATCTGTCCACCTAGAAGGCGCTCCCCAGAAGTCTGTCCCCGCCGCAGCCCGTCCAGGTGGCCTGACTCCCCAACTCCTACCCTCGACCCCCAGCCAGCTGGCCGCCTGCACTTGCCTTCCTCACCCAGGTGTTCCCTCTCCTCACCGGGTGAGTTCTGTGGTTCTAGTGAGTCGTCTATTGTGGCAATTTTCAAACACATATCCCCCAAGGCACCAGAATGGAATCGTGAACTCCTGTGCGTCCATGATCCGGCTTCCAATGATCTATTAGTAACCAAGCTTTTTCACCTACACCTCTACCCACTCACCCCTTCCTATATTTCTTGAAACAGATACCGGGAATCATATCGTGTGATCTACAAATATTTGAGTGTGTGCCTTTAAAAAGATAAGGGCTGTGACCACGGCCACACTTTAAAAAGCGAACACTAATTCCTTAACACCGTCAAATCACCCAGCCAGAGACCTCATCGGGGGCCATGCTCTGTGAGTGGCTGGTGCATTTTTTAAATCTTTAAAAACCTATGGGCCCCCTCCCCACCTGCATCTTTCTTTATTCCCTGAGGCAGCTGGTTGTGCCTCCTGCGTGTAAAGTTCTGCCCAGCCGGGCCCGTGCCGACTGCGTCCTTGGTGTTGATCGACACTCTGCGCTCTGTGTGTCACGGACACTGGAAGCTGGGGGTTTGATCCGGTTCACGTTTGATGCTTCCCGGCTGGTGCCGTTCATCCAGCTGGAGGGAGGCACAGGCTGCCCGGTTGTCGCTCTGCTCGTGGAGAGCAGCAGCCTCCGACAGCCAATGTCCGGACCTGCTCATTCTTTCCCGGTCGTACGATGGCGGCAGCGGGCTTCCTTTTGACCACTTACGGTCTCCTCTCGCAGACCCTCGCACGCCCGCGACCTTGCTCTAGCAGCCTCCTCCGACTGGCGTCCTACCCACGGGCATTCCTGGGCACTTGGCCGCCAGGCTCCTGGCAAGGCCAGCGAGGACCACAGATGGCCGTGGGCATAACAAGCAGGAGACAGCCCAGGTTCCACCTGGAACTCCCCCGTTTGGGGCTGGGATGCTCGGTAGTTATCGCAGTGTGAGGCCTGCCTCCTCCGACTGAATTCTCAGCAGGCCAGGTCGAGCGTAGCTCAGTGTTGGCTGAGAGCGCACGGTCCTTCGACAAGAATGGACTGGGCTTGCCTCTGGCAGGGAGCTGCTGCCTCGCTGAAACTCCCAGAAGCTCCTGTTGACACGGTTGTGTCTGGTTCTTAGCATCGGCTTCCTCGAGCTCCCCGGCCCACCCCCCCACAGCTCACCCCCCGCCCCGGCTGCTCCTCGGCCCGCAGCCCCGGTGGCGGGCCTCCGTCCCGTTCCTCTGCTTTGCCTCCTGAAGATCACTCCTACGACTCACTTGTGAGTGTGGCAGATACTCCTTCGGCCGGGGGCACTGACTGGGCTTCGGGGTGCCGTGTGCCGACCCCCCCATTACAGTGGAGATGGGCTCGGTGATGTGGTTGTGATGACAGACGAGCCGCCCCAGGCCTCCCCCGGTGGCACAGCAGACCTGGCCAAGCCTCTAACTGCTGCCTCTCCCTGTGTCCTTCCCCACCCAGTTCCTGCGGCTGGAAGGGAACAAATAGTGTGGAAATACAGGCTTCTCGCCTTAGAGCCCAAGTTTCCTGCCAATGGTCCCTGGGGCAGGGTGGCAAAGGGCTGGATTCCCTCTCAGAATAATATTTTTAAAAACATAAAACAAAATGCGTTTAAAAACCCAAGTAGAGCCCCGAACTGGAAATAACCCAAATGTTCTTCTGCGGGCAAATGGTCGAACCAGTCTGGTGCCTGCCGACCAGGGCGCACTACCCAGGAAGGGAGGGAACGCCCACACCCTTATCTACACAACTATTTGGATAGCCCTCGAGGGAACCGAAGAGCAAAGCCAGTCTGAACAGTTTACATACTTACGATACTTACGCAAATATGTAAACTATGTAAACCTCGAAAGGGTGTAGATTCCGCATCACGACACTCTGGAGATTACAAAACCGCAGACAGGGAGAACCGAGGCGTAGGCGGCAGGGCTCGGGGAGGGGCGCAGAGGGAAGGACAGACGGAGAATGCACAGCGCGCCGGAGCCTGGTGGCGACAGAACAGCTCTGGCGGTCACACGGATCGGCCCACGTGATAAAACCGTACCAAACTGAACACGCGCACACGCACACACCAACGCGTGCACAGCACCCTGGGGGAACCTGGATTCGCTCCGTGGAACGCGGCGGCGGCGGCGTGAACGCCTGGTCGCGGTGCGGCACCGTCTGGTTTTACAGGATGTCGTTCGGGGAGACCGGGCGAAGGGCGTATGGGGCCTCTCTGCGTTATTTCTGGCAAACGCGTGTCCACAGTCATCTTAAGATACTTCCATTTTAAAACAAAAAGCTTAACAACCGTTCTGAAATAGTTAAGGTGTCTTTAAACACCTTTACGCTGTAGCGATGCGTGCGTTCCGTTCCGTTGACGACACATCTGAAAAGGTCTGGCGACGGGTCTCAGAACGGCCAGGGCAGCGTGAGTGTGAGGGGCATTTCAAGGCGCCTGTGACAACGGCCTGCTCGTGGCACTGGGTTTTGTCGCCTACATTAGGGATCGAAGGAGGCGTTACTTTTGTTCATCAAAATAAAAACGTAAATTTTCTTTCTGTCCAGAGATTCCGGGTTTCACAGACCCCCGAGTTAAGAGCCCCTGCCTTGTTTAAAATGGCCAATTCCCCATCTCTGGTATATTCGCTACAAGGATGAACATAAACAGCAAGAGGAAGTAGAGGGAGTGTCTCGGAAGAGATGATGATGATACCACATTGGTCATGGATGGCGGGGAACTGTTGCAATGCTAACGGATGTGTTCCCGTGGCGACCTCCCCTCTGCTCAGACAGCCTGGCCTCAGGAAAGGTTCCCGAATTTGTCTTTGTCCTTTGGGTACAGGAGTTTGAGGAAATTATGGTTCTCTTTCTAGCCTGCGTCAAGCTAACATATTATTTCTGGGCTGCGGAGAAGATGGGAGGCCCGAGGGAAGCCAGTCAGCCTAGACACTGGAGAGACCCTGTGCCCTGCCTCCTGGCCAGAGTCCCGGGGTCAGTGGGGTTCGGGGGCAGAGGGGCGTGGCACATGGTGGGTCTAAGGTGAGTAAGGCCCCAGGCAGCCCCACCCCATGCCTTAGCCTGGCACAGGAGCAACTGGACAGAGTACTCGATAGACGGCCGGCCTGAAGGCACCAGTGGGCCATACCGAGTGTGCGTGGATAGGGCCGGTGACCAAGAGGGAGGCAGGAAATGACATCTCAGCGGAGGCCCACGTGGAGAGCGCCACCAAGCACCAGGTGGCGTAAAAATTGCCTGGGACCGGGCTCCGACTGAATCCCCTAGAACGGATGCAAATCCGGGAAAAGGGGGTGGCCCTGACAGTAACTGGGATATGTCGTCTAATATCCTGGGGGTTGGGGTCTCGAAACAGAAAATAAATGGTTCCAGAAAAATAGGATCATATGTTCCTGTATACTTCGGTTCCAGAATCCGGGGGCACAGCTTCTGCAGCGGGGGCTGCTGGGGGTCCTCCCGCAGCCCGGCCTCCCCTGCCCAGCGTGCACTGGCTGACTTCCAACTGGCGACACCCGCACTGCTTTGTGTAAGGGCTTTCTCCGGCTAACGAAGCCTGTGTCACCTCCTGCCCGGGAATGTAGCATGCGAGAGTTCCAGGGAAAATAAGGCCCCTCCCCCATTCAGAGCCCTCGATCAACGACTAGTTGGTGCAAAAATACTCTACTTCCTTCACTCCTCAGGTGCAATAAACCCTGAGGTGTGCGTTTTACACTGCTCTCCTGAATTTCTCCAGCGGGAAGTGAGGTTCGGCTACCCACAGGGGTAACTGGTCTGATAACACACCCTTTCCTCCCGGCCCTCCCTTCCCTGCCCCACTGCCCCACTCCCCTGCCTGTGTCTCCCTCGTCCGCCAAGGAAGCCGCTGCTTGAACTACGTGCTGGGGCTCGAGGGCTGCCCGTGGTCGAACATCAGAAACGGGGTCGGGGAGACCCAGGGTGGTGGTGGAGCAGGTGGAAGCTACACTAACCTCCTCCCGGGATCAAACTGGAATGACAGCCAAATTGCAGAGAAATCATCCTACGAATAACCGACTACACACCAGCTGGACTGAAGCCTTGCAACCAAGGACACGCGGAAGAACCCACGCTGCGACTGGTAGGCACTGTGAAGGCCCGAGAGGGCTGGCTGGGCTCCCAGGGGCAACAGCTGAAGCTCCAGAGAGATAGTTCAGTGGCCGGGGGTTCCCACTGAGAAGTGTGGGGTCTAAACCCCAAGCGGGGCTCCCCAGCCTAGAGCACCAAAACTAGGAAAGCAACCCAAACAATACCCCGCTGTGAAAAGCAGCGGGGTTTCTGTCTGCTAAGGAGACATGGCTAGAGACGCAGAGAGCCTCTTAAAGGCCCAACGCACAGAATTGTGTTTGCTGCTACTTCTCCTGGGCTTTGAGACTTTAGCTGACCCTTCCTGAGGCCCCGTGCTGGTAAAAGGCAGCCTTGGTGCACAGCCTGGTCCTTTCTGCAGGCACCCAGGCCCAGCAGGGGGAGCCAAACACTGTGGATGGCCGAGCGCTCCAAAGAGGTCGCCCAGGCAGCATCTGACACAGGCCTGCACCCGAGTCTTTGCAGATCTACCTAACACACAGGAACAAACACAAACAGGCAGCCAAGCTGGGAAGACAAAGGAAGAAACAGGCCTCAAATAAAAGAACAAAAGAAGTCTCCAGACGAAGAACGAAATGAGATGGAGGCACGCAATGCAATTCACCCGATAGGGAGTTTAGAGCAATGGTGATACGGATGTGCGATAGCATGAAGAAAGACACGGAAGCCATAAAAAAGGGCCAGCCAGAAATAAAGAATGCAATATCTGGATGTAAATAACACACTGGCAGGACTCAACAGTAGGTTAGGTGACGCAGAGGATCGAATCAGCCATGTGGAAGACAAGGTAGATA